ACTCGCGGCCCTCGGTGCCGTGGTGGCCCAGGCTGGCGTTCCTCGTGCAGTAGTCGGGAGAGTCCTCCAGGAACACGAGCTCCGTGGCGTGCACGTGGTGGAAGGTCTCGGCCGTGGCCCCGCGGCTGTCGGCACTGTTTCCGGCTCTCATCCGCCTCTTGTCCATCTCCAGCTTGTGGGCTTGGTCGTATTTTATCTTCAGGTAGTTCCCGATCTCGCGGAACTCGGCGAGCTGGAGCCAGCAGGTCTGGATGCTGCAGCTGCCTGACACCCCGTGGCACTTGCAGGCTCGTTTCATTGTGTCTTTCACTGCCTGGTGGAGAAATTAGGAGCAGAAGAGCATCAGCATTTAAAGCTCAAAATCAGGCTCTGATTTTTGGGGAAAATGGGTCAAAAGTGGCTTGTGCTTGGCATGATGTCATGCCCTTCCAAAAGATGAGCTGGATGCTCTTATTGCAGTTCCTGGGAAACATCAGTCGCAGAGATAACAAATGGGCACAAACTATTGTCCCCAGCCCTGAAGAATCTAAGCCAGGCAAAAAGTGGCTTTGTTGGGTCATGCCCTTCTCATGCCACTCACCTTGCTCATCACAGCACCAAACCATCATCCCTCTCAGAGGTTTCCTTCAAAATGTGTGAAACTGCTTTGGAATAATCATACCCAACCTCTCTGCATCTCCTTTAGGCCAAGCACTTCACAGATATTATCTGCCTATCTCCTTCTGGTATTTATAAGGTCCCAATCACTGGTATCTATGTGAGATTAAGCCTCGACACACCCTATGAGATAGGTATGTTAAGTGTTGCTGTCCTTGTTTTTACAGACAAGGAGGTTTGGCAAGATGCTGAGAGCCTCCACTGCCCAGGTGGGAGCAGGGAGAGTCTGGCAGCTGGTTTGTGAGCAGGGCCAGCTCACACCTGGCTGCCCAGCCAAAGGGCTTGGAAATGCATATTGAGAGAAGGTAAGGAAGGTGCTCCTGGCTTTGTTTTATGGCACAGACAAGCCTAGGTGAGTACAAACCCTAGGTGAGTACAAGTAAATGCTGTGTGCCAGCAGTTGACTGCATTACACAGCTGCAGAAGCTGCAAGTGGGAACAATTCATGCTGTGGTTCCCTGTGTTCAGGCTTAAGGGCTTGTACTGTTTTTTTCCCCCCCATGCAAACACTACAGGGCCTAGATTGTCACAGGGGGCAGCAAATGGGGACCTAAACAGCCTCCCAGAAGCTCAGATTTTGTTTTCAATATAGACATCATTATTACTATGATAATAATTATTATTGCTATTATTATTCTTTTGACTTACAAGCCTCCCAACTTCATTGTTGTGCAGGTTGATCAGTGCACGGGTATCGTGTCCTGTTTCCAAGGCATCCACAAAGAGCTTGGAAACTTTCTCCCCAAACTCCACGTTGTCACTGCATCCTCCCCAGACCCAGCCTCGGCCACCTGCAAGACAGACACATGCTAAGCACAGAACTGCCCCATTGGGCTGAATTCTGCCCCCAAATCTGCGTGGGCTGCATGTGGGGATGGAGAGAGGGTGTCTGTCTGTCTTGGGACAGCAGCTCACCGACGCGGCCGTTCCTGGAGTCATCACAGCCACAGCTCTCGAAGTCTCCCAGGCTGCAGTTCCTGGTGAGGGTGTACATGACACCAGCTGAGCTGATGGCATGGACAAAGGATGTTTCCCGGGTAGCTGGGAGAGAGGGGAAAAAATCTGTCATGTGCAAATGTAGACATCAACCCCAGATTATCAGGAATGAAGATCTCCTGTTCTGCAAAGATGCAAGAAGTAAAAAACCAGCCCAGCTTGTGCAAAAGGTAAGGTGCTACAGAAATTAAATGCTCACAACTGGATCTTTTCAGGCTTCAGATCACAGGTTACAGCAACTTGGCATAATGTTATGCAGGTGTCCATGCAGGGGATGGAGCTTCTTTAAGGCAGTGCCCCAGTCCTGCTCTGGCCAAGGTGAGGTATTGCTCACCTGGCACTGGCCTTCCCTGCCCAGGGCTATGCTGTGCTTTGATCTTGCCTGCTGGGGAAAATCATCATTGATCCTGTTTCAGTCAGTGGTTGAACCTGTGCTAACAGCTGTCTGCACCCACACTCCTAATTTAGTTCTTTTTGGCTTTCTGAACAGATCCAAGTAGAGCTGCTGCTCTGTGGAAAAGGAGATTTCTGCACTCACCGCTGCGGAGCCGGTTGTGGGTGGAGAGCTGCAGGGCACTCTCGGGGCAGTTCCAGCGCTCCCAGCCAAACTGGAACTTGCACTCCTCCATCCCACTGTGTGCCCCAGCTGCCACACTGCTGGAGTAAGTCAGGTAAGCCTGGCACGGGAAACAGCAGCGTTAAAATCCACTGGTTAAAATCCCTTTATCAGTGAAAACAGACAAACCTGTTGTGAGCCTTTTCCCTCTGTACTTGGCAGGACTTGGAGCCAATGTGCTCTGGGAAGCCTTGAAAAAGTACTATTTCCCATTTGCAAACCAAAATCACTCCACTTAAATTCCTGACAGTCCATATGTTCATTACCTTAGGTCCTGTCATCAGAAAGTTATTCACAGACCTGAAACAAAGAAGAGAAAATGAATCACGCAGCTTACCACAGGCCGCAGAGCATCCCTGAAAAATGCCCTTTTCACTGAGCTGGACCCTACCACGCTGCTGTGTGGAGAACAGCACTGTAGATCCCCGTGATGGAGAGGATGAGGAAGGTGTTTCTCTTCATGGCTGTCACAAGGAGCAGAGTTGGATCCCTTTGGCTGATCCTCCGACCGAGCCGGGCCGTCTCCCTCCTCTCCTCCCCAAGGTGAGCTATGGGGATGGAGGAAAGCTGCAGGAGCCTCCAACCCTGATATTTATAAGGTGAAGTTGTGAATAGTCAACCCCCCCATTCATTTGCTACCCAATGACTTAATGTGGTAAAAAAGCTCTCGCTCCAATGGGTGACAAGGAACCGCCTAAGGTTGCACTTCAAAAGGCAGCGCGGTGTCCCTGGGAGCGGGATGGTCTGCAGGAGAGCAAACTTCCCTAACAATAGCACACTTTTAACTCTCTTCCCCACCACTAGCCATCCCTTTCTGCTGGCCCTGAGTCTGCTTGCCTTCTCCTTTTCATCCTCTGCTTGCCAGCAGAGGCTCCATCCCCACGTCCCTCCGAAATAACACGCTGATGCATTTCTATAGTTCCCCTGCTCTCTGCCTGCTCCCTCCTAGAGAACACCCCGAGGAGTTTTAACAACCCTTCTGTAAAGATCTATAGGGGATAGACCTCCCAGGTCTCCCTGGTTTGCAGAGATGCAGTTAACAGCAGGTTTTTTCCCCCTTCTTGCCTCTTTATGCTGAAAGTTCCTGTATTTCCATGCTGATAACAGTGAGTGCAGCTCGGGAGTATTTGGAAATCTCTCTAATTTACGCGGCTGCAGCTTGGGAACACTGTGTGAATCATTTATGTGGTTTTCTCCATGCTCCAACGCTGTAATTAGGGGAACAGTTTTCTGGGGTTGGCAACTTCCCTACGGTGAAGCTGCTGCAGCGAAGGAACGGCTGCTGCTGGCTCCACAGGCAGGAGCTGCCCATAGCCTGAGAGAGTCAGGGGCCTCTGCTGCTCCTGAGCCATCAGCTGTGCTTGGGGAAGGAAAATCCTTATCAGAGGAAACCCAAAAAAGCCTTTTAATAGTTATGTCCAGTATCATTAAGGGCTGTGATGCTGCGGAAGGAGGAATGGGGAAATAATATTCATGGAAACTTCTTCGTGTGTTTTCCTGTGGCTGGATGGTCCCACTGGGGATTGGCTTGCAAAAGTGAGGTGTTGCAAAAGTGAGGTTCAAGGGAATGGGACTGTGCTGCTGGTGCCACCTGAGCATTGCCCAAGAGCCAAAGGGACTCTACAGGGATAGGCCCCATCTCCACACGCAGGTGAGCAGCTGCAGCCAGTGGCACTGTGGCCAGGTAGGACACTGCACCTCAAAGGGGTTTGTGAAGTACTTTGCTGTCTTGCCATGAAATGCATGAGAGCATTGCAGAGCCTACAACCTGCCCTGGGGTTTGACACCTCGCAGCGCTGGTGTCTGATGTGCTCAGGTCCTGCTGCTAGGGACCTGTCGCTCCTCTCTCCTGCCTGAAGCTGCTCCTGGCTGCAGAGAGCTCAGGGACTCTCTCTGTCCTGCCCTCTCCCTCCAGACCCTGCAGAAGGAAAACCTGGAGTCAGCCGGGCAAAGCCACAAACAACCCGTTTGCAGCCAGAGGATTAAAATTGCAGATTGGTTGAAAAGCAGAGATGCAAAATACCTTCCAAGTGAGCACAAAGCTGGTGCAGCCCCACCAGCATGGAAAACCCTCTGTGAGTCAGCATTTTAATCATTGCCATCCCGAACAGATCCTACTTGTTAGAGCTGTCAAAGGACAATTACTGGGAATGAAGTGTTTCCCATGCATCAGGTAAGCTCATTGAATAAAGCCCATGCATAGAGCTTGGAAATCTGTGCGTTTGCAATATGCACACAGGTAATTTTGGGGTTTGTCTCTGGCTGTCCCTGAGGGCATATTGATGTTTTTTTTTCTTGTCTGAGAGAGCTTGTGCAGCTAAAAAAATGTTGGCATATCTGCTCTGTCAGTTCACACATGATATTCCTATCACATGCCAGAAGAATAACAGCGTCCCTGGGCGTGAGCTCTGCCCTGAGCAGCCACTGGCAGGACCTCACAGCTCTCTGCCAGGGCTATTAAAAATGTCCTTTCCAATTAAAGTCACAGGGATCTTAAAAGTCACTCATAACGTTGTCACTTGCTCCAGCTGTCAGCAAACAAAGCAGCATGCTGGGACAAACCTTCCCATGCTGCTGCAGGTTTTTTCCACATTAACAGCTCAGTCCTGGGGAGCAGTAGCCAACACTTCTGCAGGTCGTCCAGCCTGGCAGTCCAATGGGATTGCAATGATCCCAGGTACATCACTGCTGGACTCTCCCACCTTAGGCAAAAGCAGATATTGGTCTTGCTGTGTTAATAAAATTTGCACTTTATGAAGTGCTTCATGCAAGGCCTCGCTGTAAAAGAGATAAAATAGACATGTCTCTGTTTGCAGTTGGGTATACTGAGGCACAGAGATGGGTGGTCTTGACATCTCAGGGTGAATCAGTGGCAGAGCTGTTCAGAAGCTGATTTCAGTGCTTTGCTCTGTATGTCACTGGGTGAAGCCCAGACAAGGTTGCAGACCTGGGTGTTCACCCATCACCCATGAGAACAGTCTGCTGATTGCACCCTGGGTCACCTGAGAAATGATGCTGAAGGCAATTTTGATCCTGAAGGTAGTTTTGGTGCTGAAGGTGGTTTCTCTTTGTTTTCCCCACTGCCTAGAAATTTGCTTTTCATTTGGTTTTGGATGGGGGGGAAAAAACCTGAAAGGAAAATTCTGTGGAATTGACCTGATTGTGCAGGAAATGCAGCATAATAAGTTCTGGGACCTCTCAGTGAGCCATCAACTGCCCATGCAGAAGTACCACCAGAGCCTGTGTTGGCTCAGTGTGCTGCTGAGGGAGAGCAGTGTCCTGAATGTCAGCTGGATCCCCTTGGCTTTACTGACAAAATATCGATGCTTTGTTTCTTATTTTCTTGTTATGTGACCAAACAGCCACTGCTGCATCCAAACAGCTTTGGATGATCAAAATCCTACAATGTTTTGGTATCTGCCCCCAGTAAAGAGACAACAATAATATATACAGCCCCACACGCCCATAAAACCTTTTTTACATCAGTGTGGTTTTGAGGGAAGGCAGACATGAGATAAATCAGTTTGTCAGGGTGGCAGGTCCCATAGGGATGGGGTCTTGGCTTGTCAGGGCAGTGAGCCCCATGGCTGTGGACAACAGGAAAATAAAGCACAGGACACTTGCTAAATTGCCCTTGGCAGGTGACAGATTCAGAGCCCTGGCGTCAAATCCTGCATTGCTGCCCTCATTACAATAGAAACCCACCTGGGTAATTAGAAAGCCACCCCCTCACTGGGGAGGTGGAGGATGTTTTATGGTGCTCTCCCACACCGCTCGCCCCGGGAAGCTCCTGAGCCCCTGGGGCTGATGCTGTGCCCTTGGTCTGTACACAGCAAAGGGACTGTGTCCCTTAACTCTCCATCACAGAGCACTTCAGCCATGGGACAACCCCCTGCACACCCAGCTCTACCAGGAATTGCTATTTTTAGTCTTCTCAACTTTCCCATGTCGGGGAAGATCTGTCCCTGTTGCTCTGCTCACTGCACAGTCCCTTGTGGGCTGCTGCAGTTCCCAGTGGGAGCAAACGTGGGCAGAACCCAAGCTCTGGACCTGGCAATGCTGGTGGGAGTTTTGCCTGTATAACGAATATGTTTTGACTAATGAATAGTAATTGGGGATGGAGGTGAAATGGGAATCAGGTCTTGTGCCACACCTACCCCACTGGCTCAGTCCTCTTCATGCCTGTTTTGGCACACAGTTAGAAGTGACCTGATGTTCACTGAAAACAAGGTTAAAACAGCTTAGGGCATGCTTTCCCTGCCACAAAATGATCCCAAGGAATTCCTGTCTCTCTGCAGCACTTTGTCCCCCTCAGCTGTACCAATGCCACCAGTTTTTCTGTCTTAGTCCTGATTCCCAGCACAACCTCATGTCAGGCATGATGAGGTGAGCAGTGAACTTCATCAGGGAGGTCACAAGCAAGTCCAAGGTGAGAAGCTCTGCTACTGAAGGACACACAAGCTGGAATAGAATATGAGACCATCAGGATGCCAGAGACAAGACCACAGGAGGCTCCATAGTTGCACTGTTTGGGCTTTATATCTTTTGGTTTCAAGAAGGAAAAAAATTGATGCTCTCTGGGGAAAGCTCTGCAGAGCACTTGGCTGCCTGGTCAGCCCTGGAGAGGCAACTTCATGGCAGCCTCACCTCACCTGCCTCCTTCAGGTGTGTGTCCCAGAGCCTCCAGGGCTGTTCACACAGCAGCATTATAAAGTAGAGACAAGTGTTTTGTGTTTCTCTCCTTCTTTAAATTAGGAAGTGTCATGCAAAGTGGTGTTAGTTGTGCAGATATGTTATTGCCTTGGGCATCTGCATGTGGGGACCAGAGCTCTGTCGTGGCAATGTGTCACCTCCCAGGTAAAAGTCTGTCCAGGAAGAGATTGGGCACTTGATACTGAGGAAAATTATCACCTCCTTCTTAATTATTCCTGGCCAAACCCAAGTTAAATTAACTGATTACAGCTTGGCTCATGTGGTGCTCCCCAGCCTTTCCCAGCATGGGTCCTTGCACTGTCTGTTTGTAGCTGTGTCACCCCTCCTGTCCCCCATCTATTTCAGGTCACAGGGAACAGATCAAGCCCAAATATCTTAATTTCTGAGCTGGATGATATGCATGTTGCTGCTAGCTGTGTCTGGCACAGCGACTGTGAGAGGTTTTGAGGCTCACAGAAGAAAATGATGATTAGAGCCATGAATATCTTCTTAAAACTCATCTTTATTTCTTTGGACAGAGGTGATTGCGACTGCAGAAAGCTGAGGGTTCTTCTGGAGGAAGCTGGTCTGAAAGCATCTTTAAAAATTCTTTGAGTCTTGCTGGAAAAAAAGTGAGGAGAAAACTTGCTTCTGGCACCAGCTTTGCCCATGAAGGCAGTGGCTTGTTCCCGCCGTGGTGCCCAATGCAGCTCTGGCACTTTGCTCTGCTCTCCCCTGAGGAAGCTCCTCTTGCCTTGCCTGTCTTTTCA